CAGCCGCACCGGCGGCGCCGCCGCAGCCCTGTCGGCCTCCTCTGCGCGCAGCAGCGCGCGCTGCACGCCCGCGTGGCGCCGCGCCGCGCGGAGCGCGTCCGTGTGCGCGGCGCGGCAGCGCGCGTACGCCGCCGCGACGGCCGGCAGCTCGGGGCGCAGCCAGCGCGCGGCGGCGGCGGCAGCGTCGGGCGCGTCGTCCGCATCACCGCCTAGGTCCTCGGCCGCGCCGGCTCTCTCCACACCCGCGCCGCCGCCGGCGCCCGCGCTGGCACCCGCTTGCAGCGCGTGCACGAGCGCCTGTGACACCGCGTCGAGCGCGCCAGCCCTGCGCGACGCGTCGCGCGCCTCGGTCTCCAGCCGCGCGAGCGCCGCCTGCCGCGCGGCAGCGTCGCCTGCGCCGAACGCCGGGTGCCCCTGCGCAGGCGCGCAGTCCAGGGAAAACGAGAAGCGGCCCCTCCGGCTGTACCCGCACTCGGCGCACAGGAACGCGCCCCGCGGCGCGTCGTAGCTGATAGCCCGGCACTGGCGGCACTGGTGGGCGTTCTCCCTGCACACGCTGCAGACCCCGTGCGCGTCCGTCACGACCTGGCTGCAGCGCGGGCACGTGAGCACCTCCCCCGCCGCAGCATGCAGGTCGGAGTGGAAGCTCGTGAACTCAAACAGCACCGCGCTCGCGATCAGCGGAATCTCGAAAGACACCGCCACCTCGGACTGCAGCGGCGCGAGCACCACCTCCGCGCCGCGCCGCCACCGCGGCGCCGCCGCCGCTGCGCCACCGGGATCCTCCGCCTCAGCAGCGGATCGGATCGCTTGTAGCTCGCCCACAGGCTCGGAGCAATAGCTGAACCGCAGCCCGCGCACGCACCGCGCCGCGCTCGCGCCGCCAACCGCCACCGAAAACCCCGCGACGCTCTGCCAGCCCACGAGCCGCGCCGCGACGAACGCCGGCCCGAAGCGCAGCGCCGCGGCGGCGGCGTCGAGCGCGCGGGGGGCATGCAAGGGGGGCGCTTCGACGGCGGCGTCCTCTGCGGCAAGGGACAGGCAGTGCACGCCTTCGCCGCAGCTGCCGCTGCTGCCACCGCCGCCGCCGCCGCCGGGCAGGTCCAGCACGCGCGCCAGGGAGCGGTACGCGGACGCGTGCGGGTGCTCCGTAAGCGCCGCCAGCGCCGCCTGCAGCGCGTGCAGCAGCGCGACCGCGCCCTCGGCGGCGGCCTGGTCGCTGCCGCCGAAGGCGGCACCATCAGCCGCCCCCTGCTGCCGGCGCTGCTGCTGCTGCTGCTGCTGCTGCTGATGGTCGCCGTCCCTGCCGGCGCCGCCAGCAGTGTTCTGTGGCTGTTCTGAATTTTGCAAACGAAGCTCCTTTGCAAGGGCCTCGAGCAACCCCCCCGCATACCGCCCATAGCCGGCCAGCCGCGGCAGCCACGCAAGCAGCAGCGCGTCCGCCTGCTGCCGCTGCGCCGCGCCCAGCCGGCGACGGAGCGCGAAGACGGCGCGCGCCGCGTCGGCGCGGGGGCCGTCGGCCGCCCAGCCCAGGGCGCAGTCTGCGATAAACTGCGCGAGTGACGTCGACTCGAGCGCGGCGACTGCGACTGCAGGCTGCGGCGGCTGCTGCGGCGCGGCGGCGGCGGCCTGTTGCTGCGGCAGCTGCTGTTGCTGCCTC